GTATAGTGGCACCATCTCAGCTCACTGCAAGCTCCACCTCTCGGGTTCACGCCATTCTCCTGCCTCAGCCTCCTGAGTAGCTGGGACTACAGGTGCCCGCCACCATGCCCGGCTAATTTTTTTGTATTTTTAGTAGAGACGGGGTTTCACGGTGTTAGCCAGGATGGTCTCGATCTCCTGATCTGGTGATCCGCCCGCCACGGCCTCCCAAAGTGCTGGGATTACAAGCGTCAGCCACTGCGCCCGGCCCCTATAATTCTTTATCTAGAATTTTATCCTGAGGAAGAAATCAAAACTGAGGGAAATATTTGCGTACAAGGAAGCCTAATTTATAATTGTGAAAGATTAGAGGATGATTAAGTAATTATGTGACATCGATATATTAATTACTCTTTTACTTTTTGTTGAATTTTGAATAACATAGGAAAATATCTAAAATATAACATTGTGTTTAAAATGTGGGTAAAACTGTAATTTCAATATGGTTCCAATTTTAGTTTTTTAAGATTATATATAAATACACATTGGGAAAAGGCATAAATACTACACTAATTGTCTCATAGAATGATGATATTACAGGAATTTTTCTTTTCTTATTTTCTTCTCTAAAATCTCAACATAAGCATATAAGAATCTTCTTTTAATTCAAAAAATTAAATGTTTTTGAGGAAAGGGAAAAACCCAATCCCCCAAAAAAAAACCCAAATGTAGATAAACCAATACAAACCTTGTTAGATCCAGAATTTTTACCCCTTCCAATGGCTTTATATTGTTCATATCTGGCAAAACAGAGAAAACATTTCAAGATAATTGATTATTAATTGTCTTACATTTCCACATACACCGTCATAAACTTGAGATAGATCACAAGGACTACAGTGATTCTTAGCAAGGGAGTCCACAGACCACAAGGCTCTAGTAAAGAATACGGGAAGCTGAGCCAGGCGCGGTGACTCATGCCTGTATCCCAGCACTTTTGGAGGCCGAGGCAGGCAGATCACCTGAGATCAGGAATTCGAGACCAGCCTGGCCAACATGGTGAAATCCCATCTGTACTAAAAATACAAAAAATAGCCAGGCACCGTGGCGTGTGCATGTAATTCTAGCTACTCGCTGAGGCAGGAGGATCCTTTGAACCCAGGAGGCGGAGGCTGTAGTGGGCCAAGATGGAGCCACTGCACTCCAACCTGAGCAACAGAGCAAGACACCACTTCAAAAAAAAAAAGAAAAAGAAAAAGAAAAAAAATTACTATCACAATCACAGCAATAGCAAATATTTGAAGTGCATGGATTGGTGCATTATTTTCTTGACAGCATACTTATATGGAAAACCAAATTATAATCAGAAGGTAAACTGATAGGCAAAGCATCAGAAAAAGGAAACTAGCTAAAACCATGTTTAATGTGGTAAATTGTTACAGCTATTTCCCCAAAAATCACACTTCCAACCTTATACATTCTCCTCCCACGTTGGCACTGGGCTTGGACATCTGCCTTGTTTTCACCAATAGGATATAGGAAAGTTGATGCCAGCGGAGGCAGGATAAGTGCTTATACATTGGGGCTTGATTTTTTGGACCACTTCAATCTTCATGCGAAGAAGCACAAGATGAAAGAACACATGGAGAGAAGTTCAGCTGAGACTGTCATTGCAGCAGTCCCAGCTGAGGCCCAGACATCTGGATGAAGCCATCTTGGAACACCCAGGCAGAGCCAAGCCACTAGCTACTTGCAGACACATGAATAAACCCAGGTGAATCCAGCAAAAGAACTGTCCAACTGGCTGGGCACAGTGGCTCACGCTTGTAATCCCAGCACTTTGGGAGGCTGAGGCAGGCAGATCACCTGAGGTCGGGAGTTTCAGACCAGCCTGGCCAACCCCATCTCTACTAAAAATGCAAAATTAGCCGGGTATGGTGGCGCACGCCTGTAATCCCAGCTACTCTGGAGTCTGAGGCTGGAGAATCGCTTAAACCCAGGAGGTAGAGGTTGCAGTAATCTGAGATGGCACCACTCAAGCCTGGGCAACAAAAGCAAATTCTGTCTTTAAAAAAGAAAGAAATAAAGAATTGCCCAATCAACCCACAGAACTCTGAGAAAAAAATAAAGCCTTGTTTTAAGGCACTAAGTTTTGGAGTGGTTTGTTATATGACAATAGATTAATACAATGGCTTACAGCAGAGATAACCTGTTATAGTAGTGAGAATGATCCTTGTATACGTAAAACATCCTTCCCTGCTCAAAATCCTCTATGGTTTCCTACTAAACTTAGAATGAAATCCAACTTCTTTCCACAGCTCACAAAATCCTGCTTGTTCTGGCCTTTGACACTTAAAAATATGATAGAAGGAAAAATATTATAGAAAGGCAGAAAGATCGAGATAAGAAAATCACCTACAGAGCAGAACAAAAAAATAAAAGTGGAAAATGGAGAAAAAGTAACAAAAATAAAACATCAGTCCAGGAAACCCAATAATATGAGCTTCTTAAAGAGTGAATAGCAAAAACAGAAAAGAGAGTATTACCAAAGAAATAATTCAGAAAAAATTGTCCAGAACTGAAAGGCATAAATTTCCAGATTGGAAGGTCCCTCTACTGGCCCAGTATAATGGATTTTAAAAAGACACACAGCAAGCACACCAAGACATCACTGTGAAAATCTGGAGTACTGACTTCTCTGACAAAAGATCTTAAACATTTCTAGGGAGAAAAAAGCAGGTCAGATATAAAGGATTGGTTATCAGGAGGACATTGAATTTCTCAACAATACTGCAAGACAAAACAAAAAACTGGAGGAAAAAAAAAAAAAAAAAAACCCTTAAAATTCTGAGGGGAGAAATTCTTTCTCCCTAAAATTCTAAACCCAATTAAAACACAAGTCAAGTGTGAGGGTAGAAAAAAAATATTTTTAG